TCTTATCCATCAGTGAGCTTAGTGCAGCTCTGATCTGTTAAGCTCAGGCATCATTCTTTTTTTAAGTTTTTATTGTGAACTGAGTGATAGTTTATATGGTAGAACACCAGCTCTACATTTATCCTATCGTATTTCGTTTCATTGCAATGATTGCAATCCCTTCCATGCATCATCATTCAACAGCGTTTGCTTCCGTTCCCTCTATTTTTTTTTTTTTTTTGATATACACTGAAGCAGTCAGGAATATACAACCATTCAAACAACCAAATCAGGAATCATTCTTATAGGTTCATGAAAGAGGGAATAGTGGTGCCCTGCAAGAAGATGCAGTTAGACTCACCAGGGAGACATTTACAGCTCCTGACATTTCATGACTGGTGGGGCCCACTTTTGACCAGTGGAAGGTGGTACATCTAACCTGCTTTTGTCCCGCCTGGACAGGAAAAGGGAAATTCGGAGTTGATTTCTTAGAAAAACTGAGAACTCTCATCAGAGGTAGAGGCATAAATCACACTGAACTAAGGCAGTCTTGTTTTAGGCTTATCAGTAATTCAGTGTGTTCAATTTTGAGATAAATCTTTGTATCTGTGTTCATTCAATTTTCCACCATAAGAGAAGCAGATTAGATGCTTGTGAGTGTCTTCCACGGTGACCTTCCATCAAAGGCAGCATGGTGTGCTGGCCAAGAGCATGGATTCTAGAGCCGGAGACTTGTATTCCAATATTCCCTGTGTGACTTTGGATACATTACGTAGTGTCTGTGTACCTCAATTTCCTCAGTTTTATAATAGAAGTGATATACTAATCATACATACCTCATAGTATTCATGTGAAGATTAAATGCATTGATGCATGTCACATGCTTAGTTTAGAGGAGTGATTGCAAAACTGTGTATTTTTATGAAAGGCTCAGAGGCATATGGTCTTTTTCAAATCCTTTTCAAGTCCTAGGGCAGTGCAAACAGTTAGTGTGCTCACTGTTTGGAGATTTGAATCTACCCAGAGGATACTTGGAAAAAGGATCTGACAATCTCCTACTTCTGCAGAAACAACCACTGAAATCCCTATGGAGTACAGCTCTACTCTGACATATATGGGGTGACCATGAGTCAGAATTGACTCCATGGCAACTGGTTAGTCCTGCAAGTCCTGAAACCTTCTCTTGTCTCAGCTCCTGTGACCGTGAGTGGTTCTGAAGAGTGTTCTGTAGTGTCCCACGACTCTGGGTGTTCCACTGAAGAAAAGGTTTTATGGATGTGCTAAGAGTTCTCTAGGAGTTGATCCCCCTTCTGTGCTGAACATACAGTCTACTCTTTTAAGATCATTTGGGAAACCCCCTTCAGAGCAGTTTCCATTCACTGCTAGTTTGTTTTGGAAGTAGTAGGGTAATAGCCTGAAGCTATAAAAGCAGGAGCAGCATTTATCAATTGATGGATTAGCCAACCAGTCAACAAGTATTTATGTGGTGTTTAGTAGATGTTTAGTACCCTGTTAACTGCTCCCTGGAGAAATACAAGAAATATAATACTAGGTTTCAGAACCTCAAGTTAGGGTACCAAAATGGCTAATTGGGAAATGATAAAACAGCTATAAATTTTAGACACAGAGAACAAAGTCTTCAGAGAAGAATTCATGCGGTTGGAAATGATGTTTTGGAGGGATAGGGTCTCAAGCTGAATGTTAAAAAATGGAGGGTCTAGGACAGGCAGGCAAATAGAAAACCAGTCTTATTAGAGGGCAAGTAGATGTGGAAGGACAGCGGGTGTGATGTTGGGCAGGTGCAGTGGAATAAAAACCTTGAAAATCAGAGATAGAAATCAGGCTCTCCAGGCAGAATTCAGATGCCACAAGGAAAGAGACTATTGGGGAGATTTCTCTGACTCTGTGTGAAGAATGGGTAATGGTATCGTGAAGATCAGCTGGATGCTGCAGCCAAAGTCCAAGTTTGGCTATACAAAAGCCTAGACAAGGCACATGACAGAGGGAATGAAGTCAGTAGGATTTAGACAGCAACAGATAAATCTCACAGCAGCAGTAAGTATAGAATTTTGGCTGTAGGGGAAAGAGGAATCAAAAGAGTCAAAGATAATTCTAAAGTTTCTAGGAATAAAGAAAACCCAAGCCTCTATACATTCCACAGTGATGATAGACTATAGTGGACAAATGCACTAGCTTTGTGATCAGATCTATTTGGGATGGAGTTTGGCTCACTCATGGTGCAAACAGCATGCTCAGCTGCTAATGGAAAGTTTGGATGTTTGAGTTCACCCAGAGGTGCTTTAGAAAGGTCCAGTGACCTACTTCTGAAAAAATCAGTTTTCATTTGTTCTAGCCTGTCAACAGGAACATCTTTTGGATCATTTAAGGAAGTTTAGGGAGGTCATCTCTATTGATTTCAAAAGGATAAAGAAGCAGGTAAAGAGCAGGTTTTCAAAATTCCACGACAGACTCACTGCAATGGTAGCTCAATCTGCAGAGGAAGATTCTTGTAGGTGAGAGGTGTGCAAAGGTAAACAGAAAACATTTACACAACTGGTTAGGATCTTTGATTCAAAGGTGCAAAAATAATTTTGCAGTACAAGAAATTTATGCTGAATCCCAATAGGAAGTTTTGTAGCCTCTTAGTCCCTTCACTCCTGATGTTACTCAAATAAGATTAGACCAGTTCTGGGAACTGATACCCTTTCTCTCTGTCACATTCCTGTTAACTGGCTCCATTTCAACAGATGGCTTCTTTTGGATTGTATAAAGACCCTTGATATCTGCCAAGATTGATGATGGCCAGAGACATTCACAAATCCTCAAGTTCATGAGTGCAGAAACATTTGTATAAGACTCCTGGCTTGCTCCCAACCCACATGTTTCTTGTACAATGCCTTACATCACAGGTTAACCACCTTTTCAACCTGAAGTGAAGTTCAATCCATCACCTTATGGTGATTTCTGTTTTCCCCACACATAAACAAATTTCAATTTGAAAGCAAAGCAACACTTAGTGAAAGTTCTTGCAAGACCAGCTTTGTAACACCACAGCATCAATAAGGAGCTGGGTGGCCAGTGGGGCTCCCTACCTAAATGATTTCCTTTCATATAACAGTTCCAAGAGGCACAAGACTCAAACCCAAACAGTACATGACCATTTGCTGTGGGCCTTTACAATTGTCCATGAGTAGACTACGCTTAGAATTTAGATCTGAACTGCCAAAGAATACTTCTTGTCCACACTCCATCCTTGGGATTGTCAGACCACAGATTCTATGACACAAGTGAGAACTTCCTACCCCGTAAATTTGTAAGCAGAGATAAGCATAGCAGGTAAAGAATAGGGATGGAGTCATGAATGAAATTTCTGAGGCTTGCCTTAGAAATTCCTGGAAGTCAAAGTTGTCTTCTCTACTCTGTATCTAAGAAAAAACTGAAGGAGGTTAATAATGATGACCCCATGCCTTTTGAAGAATCAGAGAAAGAACAAATTCATATGTATTGAAGATCTATTTCATTTTCTGTACCAAAAATGGACTCCTGGTGTGGCACTGTAAGATCAGCAATGGACTGTGAACCACAAGGTTAGCATTTCAAACCCACCAACTGCTCCTTGGAACCCTACACAGGGTCACTATGAGTCAGAATAATCTCTGAGACACTTAAAAACCAATCCCTGGGTGGACAAAACAATTAAAAGTTTGACTCCTAACTGTAATGTTGGAGGTTCAAGTCTATCCAGAGGTGAGGCATCTTGGAAGAAAGGCCTGGTGAGCTACTTCTGAAAAAATCAAGCATTGAAAATCCTCTAAGGCACAGTTCTACTCTGAAACATATGAGGTTGTCATGAGTCAGAACTGACTTGATGGCAACTATTTCTTTTTTGTAGGAAAACCAAACAGATTTGAGGCAATGTTCAACGAGAGGTACATATAAAAAAAGACTTAGAAAGTAAGAACAGAAGATCAAAAACTTTGTAAACAGAATGAGCAAAAACACTTTTGTTGTTGTTAAATTCCCATGGTTTTGACTCATGGTGACCCTGTATAGTGTTTCTGAGGAGCAGCTTGTGTGTTTGGACTGCTGACCTGTGGTCAGTAGTCCTATGCTTATCCTGCAGTGCCACACTACGACTCCATCAAAAACCTCTACAGATATAATTACTATGAGTGAATATTGCATTTAGTTTAGAACTTTCTGGCAGCAAAGGTAAACAGAGAAAAATTAACAGATTACTAAGAGTATTATATCTCTCTTGATACTAAATCCTGAAAGGAACTCCCAATGGGGGACTTATTCACTGGTACTGAGGGCCATTTCCTAATGGTTTTTATAGGAAATGCTGAATAGTTCACATACAGCCATTTTCCATGTCTCTCAATAAAACTGAAGTAAAATCTTTAAAAATACCTTAGTTTTTGTATCAGAAAAAAAAATCATTATCAAGTCAGGGTGGGATGAAGAATGGGTGTAAATATGTTGTTGTTAAGTGCTGTTGGGTCAGTTCCAACTTATAGTGACCCTGTATAGGATTTCCAAGGAGTGGCTGGTGAGTTTGAACCATCAACCTTGTGATTCAAACCGACCTTACAGTCTAGAGCTTTATCTTATAGTGCTGCATATAGGTGAAACAAAAAATGGCAGAATATTGATAATTGTTGAAAGTGGATGTTGCTACATGTGGGTTCATTACACTATTCTACTTTGTGTATGTTTAAACATTTCTATAATTAAAAGCTTTAATTATATAGACTGGGAAGTTGAACTAGTATGTTATCGTACAAAGATTGGATTCAATTTAATGAAGTTTTAAGTTAACCAGCTATTACTTTTATGTCCGATCTTTGAAAATTGCTCATCTGGGCTATGGCTCAGTTGATAATAGTTAGAACCACCCCAGAAGCTATGTAGACTTTTCTATACAAGTGTGTACACCCCCAAGTAAGTATAGCTGCTTATTGTTGACACATAGAAGACAAGTGACCAAGAAGTGAAGGGGAAAGGCCAGGTTCAGTTACCTTCACTGCAGTTCTTCAGGGCAAAGAAGTCCACTGCAGACAGACTCCGGTTTCCACTTGAGATGTACTCCAGTGCCACTCGGAAGGGGTTCTCTGGGCGCCCAATTCTTCCCTGCAGCACTGTCCAACTGGTTGTATTGGAAAGCGGAGGGAAAAACATAGAAAAACAATGATGAGAGGCTGGCCTAACCTGCGAGAGGCTCCTGCCCCTTCAGTGATGTCAGGACACACATTCACATGGGCACCCACACATGAAACCTTCGCTGACTCTGAGGACAGGCACCCTGACACCAACACGCAAACATGTGCACCTCCTTCCTACTTAGTTAACTCAGAGACACAATTCTCCAGGAAACTCAAGCCGCTGGCATTGCTTTGTTCATAGTCTTTTTAAGGCATGTTGCAGATCTGGGATCTTCCAGCAGCTAATATTACAGGGAAAGAACAGATATACCTGTCAAAAACTGGCTGCAAAGTCAAAGAAAAGTCTTCAAAATATTTATTAGTCTTTTCATAATTATCTCTGGAAGGAACGTTTGGTTTTCAGAATTTTACCGGATCAAAAAAAATCTCAGAACCCTCAGGTTTGCTATACAGTTGCTTAAGAGAAGTTAACAAGGGCTATTTATTTACTTCAGGAAAATTAAAGTGCACTGAAGCATGTATTTTGGGTTAAAAGGTACCTAAGATTGACTGACATAGACTCTGCAAAAAAGTGCAAAGAGAAGAAGATGGAAGCAGGTCAAATGGTGAGCCCTGCGCTCAGCCATAATCAAGGCTACTGACTCTGACAGAGAACCAAGAGTACATTAAATGAGCATTTTTACACCTTGCTCCTACTATTAACCTCTTGGAATAGCCTCCTGTCACTGATTGGAACATCAAATTTACTTTCCAACACTGATTCAGGTTTTATTTCTTTATTTATTTCTGACAATTTTGTGTTTAGAATGGAAACTACCTTTTTTTTTTTTCCTTTTAAGAAAACAACTTTGTTGTTGTTATGTGCCACAGAGTCAGTTCCGACCCATAGCGACCCTGTACAGGGTTTCCGAGGCTGTAAATCTTTATGGGAGCAAAAAGCCTCATCTTTCTCCTGCGGAACAGCTGATAGTTTTGAACTGCTGACCCTAAGGATAGTAGCCCAATTCATAACCACTACATTACCAGAGCTCCTAGAAAACAACTTTATTGAGGTGCAAATGAACCACAAGGCAGACAGTTCACACCCACCAGCTCCTCCTCTAAAACTGTACACAGGCTCACTGTGAGTAGGAACCTACTTGAAGGCACTTAACACCAACAGCTGCAAAGGACATAAAATGAGTGTCAGGCATTAAAAATACATGCATAATTTTATGCATGAAGGTGTATAATTAGATGAGTTTTAATACCTGTATCCATACATGAATTTATCACAAGGTTTCATATTTCTTACCAATAGGCTGAGAAAGAATTTAGAATATCTTTCTTTAAAAAAAAAAAAAAATGTGAAAAGTTTCCTCTCCATCAAGTGTAGACTGATACTCATTATAAAAAAATTAAAAATAAAATAATTCAGAAAAACACATAGAGGGGAGAAACATTACCCAGTAGTAGCCACCACCCAGAGATAACTATTGTTAACATCTCACTGAGCAGGTTTTTGGCTACAATATCCCACAATTTAAGCAATATATATACCCTGATGTGGCACTGTAGTATAAGCAATGGACTGCTACAGAAACCCTACATACAGTTGCTATGAATTGGACCCACCTCGACGGCACTTAATAACAACAACAGCAATAACATATATATTGTTTTTAAGTCCATTGAGGTGGTTGGGACTCATAGTCACCCTGTACACAACAGAACGTAACATTGCCAGTCCTGCGTCATTACCACAATCATTGATACACTTGAATCCATTGTTGCAGCCACTATGATGGGCCATCTCATTGAGCATTTTTCTCTTTTACATTGGCCCTCCCATTTTGTTGTTGTGTTGTTTTTGTTGTTCAGTGCCATAGAGTCAGTTCCTACTCACAGCGACCCTATATAGGGTTTCTGAGGAGCCACTGGTGACTTTGAACTGCCGGCCATTTTACCAAGCTTGATGTCCTTCTCCAAGGTTGTTCCTGAGAATCACCAATCTGGTTTCTAAGGAGCTTTCTGACTGTACTTCTTACAACACAGAATTTTTTTTTTTTTATCTTCTGGCAGTTCTTAGTACTTTTTATATTCTTCTCCAACACCTCAGATGCATCAATTCTTCAATGGTCTTCTTTATTTAATGTTCAACTTTCACATGCATATGAGACTATTGAAAATACTATGGCTTGAGTAAGGTACACCTTAGTCCACAAGCTGAAATCTTTGCTCTTGAACATTTTAAAGAAGTCTCATGCAGTTGATTTTCCCAATGCAACATGTTCGTTGATTTCTTCCTTTTGTGTGTATGTTTTAATTATCTTCAGCTTCAGTCTGAACTTGCACATAAGCAATTGATAATCTGTTCCACAGTCTGCTTCTGGCCTTGTTTTGGCTGATAATATGGAGCTTTTCCATGGTCTCTTCCCACAAATGTACTCAACTTGATTTCTGTGAATTCCATCTGGTGGGGTACATGTGTATAGTCATCTTCATCTATATTGTTTAAGAATGGAATTTGCAAGGAAGAGTGGGATATATATGTTTATATATCCGACAAGTACATGGGTAACCATAGGGAGGAAGTGGGCTAGCTGTCATTACAGAGGGGATTCCAATCATTGAAATGAAACAAAGTGTGTGATTTGTTGAATGTAAAACCAATGATCTTGTCTAAACCTTTACTCAATTCACAATTAAATAAAAAAAAGTATTTGCAATGAAAAAGTCATTGGTCTAGCAAAATTTTGTTATGCAATCTCCATCATTTCTATCATCATTTTCCATCTACCGATCCTTTCTCTTTGTTCCCAACCTTTGCATTCCACTCACCAGTAATTATCAATACAACCTGATTGCATGTTTGATCAATTTCAGACCAAAGAAGTTGGAAGAATTCTTCAATTTCACCAACACTACTTTTACTAGTTGGTGTGTAAGTTTGAATAATAATGTTATGAACTGGTCTTCCTTCTAGACGTATATATATTATCCTATCACAGACAGTATTATACTTCAAATGTTCTTTTTGATGGTGAATGTGACAGCATTGCTCTTCAATTTGTCATTCCCAGCATAGTAAACCATATGATTGTCAAGTTCAAAATGGCCAATACCAGTCCATTTCAACTCACTTATACCTAGAATATTGATCTTTATGAATTCCATTTAATTTTTGATAACTTCCAATTATCCTAGATTCAGACTTTGTACTTTCCATGTTTTGATTCTTAATGGAGCTATTTCTCCTCATTTTGAGTTGTACCCCATCAGCAAATGAAGTTCCCAAAAACTTTACTCCATTCACATCATCAGCGTCAATTCTATTTTAAGCAGGCGGCTCTTACCCAGTCATATTTTGAGTGCCTTCCAATGCAAGAGACTCGTCTTCTGGCACTGTATCTGACAATATTCTGGTGCTATTTATAATGCTTCAATAGTCAATATTCTGGTGCTAGTTGACAGTGTTCCACTGGTATTCATAAGGTTTTCAATGGCTAAACATTCAGTGGCTAAACAAATACCATTTGCCTCTCCTTCTTCCTAGTCTGTCTTAAAGCTCAACTGAAATCTGTCCACAATGGATGACCCTACTGGTATTTAAAACACTGGAGGAATAGCTTCCAGTACCACAGTCACACACAAAGCCACCATAGCTTGACAAACTGACAGAGGAGTGGTGGCATAGTATATATATTGTTGTTGTTACGTGCCTTTGAGTCAGTTCCAACTCATAGCAACCCTGTATAGCATTTCTGA